ACGACGTTGCTAAAGTCGGGTGAAATAATTGCTCATCGATCGTCGTGCCTCTCTCTCCCTCTTATACGCAGATGCGAATTTAATAATACGCCGCCTGCGAAACCCGTATTGACGTAAGGACCGTCGAGAGAGCATATCGCTTTAGCGACGTTCACCGTGTCGCGCGACACGGAAGAAACTTAACACCAGATGCAACCTCTCTAACAAGCGACGGAAATGAAAACTTCCACGCGACACAGTTCACGCTATTATACATGCGTCGTTATCGCAAATTTCCATAAAATCTCGCGCCCGTAAAAGTCAGGCAGCAGACGCGGCTCAAAAATGTCAAAGTGCGATCGAGGGTAGAGCGCATGCGAGTTCCTCTCTTCACGTTTTCAACGTGCGAAAAAAAAAACACCCGGGTAGACCTGCCGGTCGACGCGCGAATGAAATTTCGCGACGCGATAACGCGCACAGACCCGTTGTAAATTTTTTCCCCGTGAAATTTCCCGTTACATGCGCGCACGCAAACGCATACGCGTCGAAAATGCGAAACTCTGCGATCAAGGGAAATCGCGCGCCGAGACGCGAGAAGTAAAATAAAACGTTGCTCTCGTAGAGAGAGTAGACGCGTAAGATTAAATTAAAAAGTACATAAATACACAAAGGAAAAGGTTCCTTTATTACACTATTTAATACACGTGTTTGTTCGACTCGGGTTTGTATTAATATAAACAATATAATTTAATGTCAAATATTATTTTGCTTAAGTGAAAATAATGTTTCATTCGAATAAACCATGTTGTTTGATAGAAAAAAAAAAAACAGTATTATTTAGAGGAAATAATATTCGGTTTTCAATAAAAAAAATTTATTTCGTCATATATTAAATATTGAAACAAAAGAAGTTCTTGAATATTTTTCTAACATAATATTATTTCTTTCAAATAATTTATTGCTTCCCTTAAAAAAAAAGAATTAATATATTGAAACATCATAATCAGTTACTGGTAAAAATTGACCAATAACTGATAAAAATTGATCATTAACTAATTATACTGTTTCAGTATATTAATTCTTTTTCTTTAAGGTTGTGAGAACTATTTTAATGTTCGAATGAAGATATAAAAGAAACATATTATTTGACGTAAAGATATTTATTATTTGAGAAACCAAACAATCCTTTGTTAAATCAAATATTCGTTTATATTATATTAATATTAAGCGCTAAAGATAATTAAGCGACAAATATCTATGTATTAGTGTTAAAGAAAATTATACAGATTCGTTCGAGAGTAAAACTCTGCTTCGTGCTAATTAATGTAAGTCAGTAGAACATTCAACGCATCAGACGCATGCACGCGAGGAGTGTAGGCTTTCTACCGAATCAGTGCGTGACGAATAAATAAGGAATATAATCTCCCTTCTGTGTGTAGCACTTGTTGCGTGAAAAAAGGAGCGCTTTGATACAAATCTGGCACGAGCTTTATAAGACCGTTACACCGCTGAAATTCGAGCGATACGATCGAAACGCGCATTTATATTAATGCTGTCGTGCTAGCATACGCACGGGCGTAATAATATAATATTATGCAATTATTATTGTTTTTGTGGCGATAATGTAATGCGTTATCATGCAGCACGAAATCCGTACATTTCCGGTAAAAAAATTACATTAGCGTATGCGCTAATACTATGCAATTATAACTCGTAATTTAATATTACAGAAAAACAGGAGTCCTCCTATTCTGCGTATATACGCGGAAAAGTTCTCTTGGAAAATCCTACACGCATAATTCTACGCGTTTGCAAAAATCAGACAGTATTAATAAACACCTCTAAAAATAGTCACAAAGACCAATTCTCATCGTTCGCTTTCGTAACGTAAGGAATCTCAATATTCAATGCCGATAACTTTTCATTCTTGCCAACGGAATCAATGATACACTCCCAAAATGTTTTAACGAGTGGCAACGTAAATGTCCGAATTGATATTTTGATCAGTTCATTAATCTTACAAATTTAAATAGTTAAACTATTGCAGCACCAATAAAAAATACAACATTACGCCTAACTGCAGATAAAGAACATACAATAAACGAAAGTTAAATAATTAAGTGAAATAATTAATATTTTTATGATAATATTCAATAATAATTAATAAAAATGTTGACGTTGAAAATTTCAACGAGATCTGAAGATTTAAAAAGCTTCTGAGAACGAAAGAGTTGTTTGAAGAGCGAGGATAGTATTTGTATGTTCAGTAATACTGTGCACCAACAGAGATCTAATTTTGGATTCAGTACAATAACAGAAGAAGAAAAAAGGCATTGGCACTGACTCACCACAGTACTTACACTCTAAGGAGCAATATTAACCGCTTGCGTTGGAATTACTCTCCCAGACGTACTACTTACGGGTCAAAATCACCCAGCATGTCTCATGCACATAATATAACGTATGCTATTATTCTCTCTGAGCGTCAATTTACGCAAGCGTCAATTAAATGCCAACACACGGAGTTAAAGGCAACAAGTCGGCATTTGCGAGACTTGCACTGAATAAGTAAGGACGGTATTCATAATTGCTAATTAAGTATAATCTTTGATTGAGAGTATAATTAATACGGTCAGTTATTCGGCTGTGCATCGATATTTTTTATATGAAATAAGTACAGATAATGAGTAATTAGAGATTCATGAAGTTACGACCACTTGGCAAATAATGATAAATTATGAATTCCATTCCATGTAATTCAGAATAAATGATTGAGCACACCTGAAAATGTACGATATATCGCCACCCGCGTCTCGGCATCCTGCGTCCTATTCTTGGCTACTAACACTCGCGCAGATATGATACGATCAGAGAAGAAATGACGATGTTGAATAACGTGATGATGACGAGAGTGCGATTAAATATTTTAATCGCCGACGGGAATTACAATAACCTACCTACTGACACGTGCCGCGGTGTATGCATCGCTCATCGCTTCGATACGTAATGACTTGGCCACGGAAAAGTACACGACGCGCAAGAATACCAAAACAATCGGCAAGAATGCTATTCTCGCATTGCTCATGCATTACCCCCTCCAGTCGCCGAGCGTCGTCGTCCGACAATGAAGATACATTCGGAGATGACAATTAACACCCACAAAAACATCCCGGACCTTCGAGGCGTCATCGAAGTTACCAGGGCGGTACGTATTGGAAATTTCGCCCGTGGCATTCCACAATTAATACGCGATAATTAACGCTGTATGTTTCCGAGTGACTCGTATTTTCACGTACGACAATGACGACCTGGCTATCGATCATGTAACTTTTCTCCTAGGACGGAAACGTGAAAAGTGAAATGTTTTCAAATTAGAAAATGTACATATTTCACAAGTTCACGTTAGAGGAGACGAGTCATGCCTCCCGAGGATTGATGATAAATTTTTTCCTCTAACGTGAATTCGTTAAAAGTATATATTTTCTAATTTGAACGAATTTCACTTTTCACATTTCACGTTTTCGCCTTGGAAGAAAAGTTATGTGATCGATACACAGGAGAGCTGATCCCAGGATGGAATATAGGACGCAGAATAAAGCGATTGTCAGTAACGACTGGCTTAAAACTATTCTTTCCAGTTTCTAAATCTCATCGAAACTTTCAACGCATTAAAATCATGTAGCATTAAAAATGGAAGGATAATCTATATAATGTATTCTGACATTTTTCATCTGTCTTTCGAATTAGATGGAATTTGTAGAATTAATATAGAATCAAAATTTTGACTCGGGCATGTTCACATATTTATGATATTACGAGATTATAAAAAAGAGCTAATGTGACAAAAAATTTGAATGGGGCCTTCAATGGAAAAGCCAACACCCTTGAAGAAAAACATAATAATACTAAGAACCACAGAAATAATAGTCGGTATTCTCGAATAGAAGACTGGAGAATACAAACAACTCAGATGAATACCTAAGGTTAGATCGTACGAATACGAACGGGCTACATTTCGCAAGCGTTGGCTGGCTTCTCGCGAACGGGCCAATGCGACGAACTATTGAGGTAGGCTTCGGTTGCTTGAACTTTTCGTTTCGAATAACATAAAAATTTTCGAGAGGAAGTTTTATCGACTAAGTCGACTCCATTCGATGACGAAAACACGACGAAGGAACTTGACGAAAATCTGCGAAGAACTGCTATAATTTTCTCCGATCAACATGTGTTCCATTATATTAAACGCGTTGAATCGTGCCGGTTTCGCCGTTAAATCGTGAAATCCATCCATCCATTCGAAAATGAGGACTCGACGAAAGAATTCAATGAAAATTCTCGAAAAATTATTTCAATTTTCCGCCGATAACTAATGTATCTCGTTATATTAAACGCGTTCAATCGTACCGGCTATAATCCCTAAAACGTTTCTCTGCCATGCGGTCGCACCGAATACGAAAAGAAAGAATTAGTTTCCACAAATAAAAAAACTAACTATCCATATAATACAACTGAGATTTAATTACTAGATCCACCTTTTAGCTATGAAAATTAATTATTTTTTCCGTATACTATTATAGTCATAAGAATTAGCTTTCACGGCTAAAAACTAGGTCTGATGACTAAATTTCAATTGTATCATACGGCCAGCTAGAGAGAATTAATTCTTTTTCCCATGTACCGTATGAAAAATACATACTTTTAGTCAAACAAAAATTCAGCGCAATATTGCAATTATGACTGACTGGCGCAATTTAGCGGCGGACGCTCGCTCCTAAGCTCTCTTTGATGTTTCGTCTGCGAACGTGTGTCCGGGTTCTCCTTGAAAGAGTAAACATCGGGTGGCAAAGTGCCCCCCGTAGTCGTTCCTTTCGAGTGCGAAGCCGAAGAGTATGAAAATATACCGTCCGCGTTGCAGCTCGCGCTAAAAGGGCTACCACGTCGCGGCGCGATTAAATGTACCCGAGGGAATCTTTCCGCGCGACGTAAGAGGAGAATTCTCCCGCCGCTCGTTCCTCACTTACCCCAACGTGGAGAGGAAGCCGGACACGTTTCCCTCGGCGTAAAGGCTGACGATATCGCCGAGATGGAGGAAGCTGGCTGATCCTAAAAGCTCGCCCATCTTGATGCCGTCCTTAAAGTTTGCCCCGAAGTCCGAGAAACTCCCATTGGCTGCTTCAGCCGAGTGAATTATTCATGGCTACACCTGAAAAGGTGGAAATAAATAATCGTTAGAGAAAACCGAAGAGGCAACTTATAGGGGTTTTCGCGGGGCGGCTTAACGAAATCGCCTCCGGTCGAATTACGCAACGGGAGAAACGTGCGTTTTACGCGTGAACGATATATATCATTTCCTCTTTCTCGTCTGACGATGACAGGTGACGCTTATGTGGTCGGTGAAACACCGACGGGATATAGTCGATATCCTAAGTGTGCTCCCCTAATCGATTGGCTGTACAACTGCATCATTCAGTCGGATGCACTTGCGCGGTGAGAAATCGTTAGGGAAGTTTATTTATAGGCTTCGCGCGAATCTAAAAATTCTCACGTGAAGAGAGGCCGAGGCGCAAACGATTCGGCATGAATATGTTGCGTGATGCGATAAAGTGTGCGCGTTAAATAAATGTTAAAAGTTACAAAAAAAGTTATCAAATAAAAATTACAACAGTTCGATCTTCGACCGTGCATTGTCAACCATCGCTAAAGTTGGAGGTACAAGTTAAAATAAAGACCGGTTATGTAATTATGAGAGACATTTCGAAGTACTATCGTGTAATATCTCCAAATATGAATACCAATCTCGAAACTCGGATTCTTAGGTCGCAGTTGGCCGCGGGATATCTTCGAATAAACGAATATATATTCCGCCGATGTTTGTTCAACAATACCCGCAACGCTTCGAGGAATAAGAATCTACCCGGAATACGGCTGCTCATAATGCGGATTCCAAAAACAAAATAACAAACACGGTGCGCTTTAACGGAGAAACGGAGCATCCCGATATTTTCCAATATCGCGTTTCCCTTTACACATCTAATCTTCAACTCGCGGATCGTTTCTGTCGCGTTTCACGTTCGCCGCATATGTCCATTATTAAATGTATCCTGACGATAAAAAATCCACAACTTCGCGTTTTGCGTCGAGAGAGGAAAATGTTGCACGAAGAAACCTAACTGGAATCGCGTTTCGGATGCAGAAACTGGGCATGCACGCTGTATTGGCGTATAAATGCCGAGCGAGCGAGACTTAATTGCTCAATAGTGCCACCGCAAATTGCTAGATGAAGTTATCTACCTAATAGATCAAGACGGCAAACAGGTCGTGGGATTCCTTTTGTCTCCTCCACGAGAGAGGAGATATATTCCACGCGCGTGCTTGAGGACAACGATGATTTCTCGATAACATTGCGAGTTTTCCGTGCATGGCGATTGCCAACTATTCGTATCTTGCGATAAACGGTGCTTCGCTCGATCATACAAATTCTTCACCGCATATTATACGTTCACTTACGTTCATATCCACGACGAATATTTAATACAAGCTAATCTGGGTCTCGGTGGAATGCGAACATGATGAATAAACAATATTCGGAAACGAATCGGACGGTTTCGGCTAATTGCTACGGGGAATGAGAATAAATCTTCATTTTATTTTCATTTCTTTTCGATTTTCGCGATTACGTACCCATAAAGCTATCTGGGAGCTATCTGGAAGATCGAATCCGCTGAATGGTAAGATACCATCTCGCAGATTGCGGGGGTGACGTAAAATCTCTTATTCGGGTCGGGATCATCTAGTAATAATCCGCTGACGAGTCGCACGGTACAGCTTCCCGGCAAATTCATTTGTTGCATTAAAGCGTCTTCGACCGGGTAAAGAAAGAAAGAAAGAAAAAGAGAGACTTTATTGGAACTACCCTTTAAATTAAACTGACCCTTAACCTTAGCGTCCACGTAAACAACAAGCTCAACGGACGAGCGCAACCACCGGTCAAGTCCACCTATGTGGAAGAAATCGATGAGTCGAGTGTCTCGACACTGACGAGCATTTCACACGACCAAAATGCAATCTAGATTGCGCAGGAAAATGACGAGACAAAGAAAAGGAGAGAACGATAAGTCATAAGAAAAATCGATAACGACAGATTAGCCATAATTAAATTCCTTATGCGGACCGAGCACGTGTCTACACGGAAGACTTATCTCTTCACGTCGACCGTGTAAAGTGCAATTTCGCCGTGCATAAATACCGAGACGCAAAATTTCCGTTTCAAGGCGGAATTCTAAAATGACACCGAGAATAGGCACCGTGTATCTAACTACGCGACTGTAGCAACACAACACAACAGCACGGCCTCTTATAGAGAACTACCGGTTGCTCTTACGTGACTACACACGTTACCTCATTCACGGACGTACGAGACGCGCTACTTTTAGATCTCATTCATAGAAAAGCAGCGGGAGAAAGATTCACGCTCTGTCTCTGCGGTTCGGTGATAGAGGAATAAATAAATTCCGCGCGCGCTCGCGGAGGGAAGTTAACGAGCGTTCCCAATGCGTGCCAAGAAAATTCCCTCATCACGATACGCGGCTATTAATAGCCCTTGAATGTGACAGAGATCGTAACGCGAGAATCACGAAATGTTATTCTACTCTTTTGCCGCTTTGTCTATTTTTATTGCATACGTCAATCATCGCGCTATAATTTGCAATGATCTACGGACAATTACCTGTAGAACATCAGATTGATACGATCTCTGAAAACAAATCTCACCTTCGCGACATTTGCATCCGCGGAGATATGTACACTGAGACAAAAAATATTTGGTATAACTCTTTGATGGTAATTATAATCATCATATATATATTGAGAAACCCATTTAGTTGATTCAACTCTTTCGGGGGCAAAATTGTTTACCATGTAGAACCATTTTTGTCAGTGATAACCTTATATGCGTATTGCTATTTTCTCGTTAGAGCAATAAAAGGATATAATTGAAAATGATTATAATTTTAATGACATTAGCTATTTTTTCTCTCAGTGTACTCGAGATCGTGTAAATTTTTCTTGCAAACAGCCACGAGTGAAAATTTAATCGTATAACACGGGAAATTAACGGAGAGAGACGTGTTGACATTCAAACGGAACATATATCGAAGAATAGCGCAATAAATTGTTCCATGCGACCAAGCGATGAACCTATTAGACTGCTTCGCAGTCGGTTATTATATCAGCACAATTGCCCGAGATAGAGTTTGTTAAAACATCATATCGATGATAGTTACGTTACGTTGTGCGCCGCGTAATTTTTTTGCTCGCTTTTGTTTCGTATTACGACTAGGGTTATCGTTGAAAATACTGCCTCGGAAAAACACGCAAAAATATTATTTTAACAATGGTTGCCGCGTGCAGATGATACATACTACGCGTATCGCGTGATATACGAGAATCCTTTCAACTACAATGAAGCCTGTATGCATGCCGCCGCTTTTCGACAAGAAATTTAACCGCAAATAAAAATTCGCTCCTCTCTTTTATTTATTCACGTACATAAATAAGAAATAAATTTCGCTTTATCTTACTTTGTCCAGATCGAACGGTCGCAGATTTAGTTCGAGCGAGTAATCTTCAATTGTATCGTTTATTTGTCCACATTGTATCAATCTACCGATAAGCGCTTTATCTCTAATTATTTCTAAAAACCGACTTGAAGCTATCGGGAAAGAGTTTTGCTAAGATGTTCCCTATTTTTTCATCTTTGGAGCCCATTTTTTCTGGAACAGTAAATTGCTACATTTTAAGACATACACGGAAGAAAAAATCTGATTGCATCAACCCGAAAGGGAGCAACGAGATGGGTTCTGTTTGAAGGAAACAAAATTTCTGGTTCTTATGACCCAAATGTGGTTCTTATAACCAGAAATTCTGTTTCCTCCAACCAAAATGCATCTGGCTGTTCCCTTTCTGATTAATAAAATCAGACTTTCTTTCGTGTGTATATTTGTAATCAGCTTGGTAAGTATTTTAATTTGATATCAAAATTAGGTACAAAATTGAGTAGGAAAAAATGGGGAACTATAAACGTTTGGACGCACTCTTTATTCACATTCCACCGCCTCTTATCTTTTCCTCTTGCCCATACGAATCCGAGAATGCGCGAATCGCTCGGTTGAAATCTCCGATTGCGAAAAGCGAATTTTCATTATTCATATCCACGCTACATCCGCATGAATATCGACGATACGAGTCACGGCGAAACGAAAGAGCGAGCGAAGACGCTCAGCTCGCTCCGTCTTCGTGTCGTACAGTGCAGTCGCCGGACAATAAACCGCCAATTGACTATTAATATCGTCTAATGAAACCGTATCGATGCATCGCGATACCGGGGAATGCAATTCTATCCACTCTATCGCTACTCAACACGCACACGCCGAACAAAACGGCGCTATTAAGCGGCGACATCTAATACCGTCCCGATACACATTACAAGACGCGTACTGATATACACATACACTAACACGTAGTGGTCGCGAGAGTCATTATATCGAAGTAGTTGGGTGATTTTCCTGTTAGCAAAGAAGTTCCCACGTTGTCGACGAAATTCCATATGCTCAGCGAAAAACGTTACTCTGCAGAACGAACGATTTTCTTCCGTTTACGAAATGAGCTCACAAGCTCCGATCTTAGAAAAACGTTTAATGTCAACACGCTCGCTTCGAGAAAAAGTAAAACGTCCGATGCGTTATTGCGACGCGTTCTGTCTTGACTAAATAAACATCATTAAACCTTGTTCTGTCACGTTACAGAAAATTATAAACCGATAGCGATGCGGAAAGTGTCAACAGCCTATCGGTATCGGATATGTAAATACTCAGGATGTGTTTCGCGATTTTTTCTAAGACTTTCGGAATGAGCGGCATATTCTTCTATCGCGAAATGTATTTTCTTTCAATCTTGATACATGAAAGACTGGTCGTGAGATTTTTCGTTTTTCAGCTCAAACAAAAAAAACATGTGTTTTCTCTCGCAATATGTAGCAATTATTGGTAGAGCACAACTCGTTTCACGTAATGAGAGACGAAAATGAAAAATAAAAACGAAAATCATGATTGGTCTTTTGTATTTGAGCTTTGGAAAATGAAAAATCTCGTGATCGATTTTTTGTATATTAAAGCAGTAATATTTAGATCAAAGTTTTCATTAAAA